GTGGGACAGCTCCCTGCATCTCTCCGGTGCTGATAATGCACATCTTGTAGGAGTTGCCAGAGTCCCATTTCCTGAGCTTCACTCAGTGAGTCGGTGGTGCTACTGGGGGCAGAGGAAGTATTTGACCTTGGTTAGACCATTTTTGCTTTCCAAGTATTAATGGATACATTTGATTATTTTTATAAAAAGCTAATTACTAGCATATACAGTGTGACTGACATAATTAAGATATAATTTTCACGTTTCAATAGGTTGTAGTTTTTGAAATGTACACTTAGACAATAGTAGATAGATGAATGAAAAAACAATCTCTCATCCAGTTTGTTAGACCTTCTCCTACAATGTACGCATGGAATAAATTCACAGGGAGAATGGGTGGGGAGGAAGCAGAAGGGTTGAACATTTAAATATTGTTTATGTACAGATATTTTTAGCAGAACACCTATGAACTAAAGAATGAGTTTAAGTTGATGGAAAATCATATTACTGATGCTATATACTCAGATAGCACAGAGAGTGGGAAAGAAGGCATGCAGGCAAATGATTCAGGAGCACCTGCAAATAGGAAAGTCAACATGATGCTTGTAGTCTGCAAGGGATCTTGAACTGTCTACTAAGAAGTCTGGGTATAATCAGCCTTGGTTTTTGCTGTCATATGGCAGACAGATATAAACACTCTGTCTTTGCTCTAGGTGTGTTTGTGCTAATAAATTGGAACTCTTTGGAACATCATATTAACCTATGTACTTAAATGTTATTTATAAATAAAATGTATCCAGCTTTGAAATATGTTGTAATTTTAAGCAAAATTTTCTATACCCTGCAGTTTGGATCATTCTGTATGTGGGTCTTATCTTTCTAAGGTTACACCAGGCTGTTTGCAAACCCCTAGATGTCATGACCCGGGAAGTGCTTCTTTAACGGCTCTTTCAGTGTGACTGTCTGAGGAACCCATGGGATGGTGGGTACCCTGGATGGAGTGGAAAAGGAAGTAAAAGCAGTTGGATCTGGAAGGTCAAGTGTCTGTCATAATCTTTCTGACCTGGAAAGTCTACAGCAAGGAATGTAGATATTGCTGAATTCTCAGAAGAACAAAAGGAAGTTAAGGAACCCTTGCACTCAGCAGTAGATGCCCTGATACATGCATCGTATCTTTCTAAGTATAAAGGTGAAGTTACGAGGTTTTACAAGGGGCCTATAGAAATTCATCTGGCATTGATTAAGATGGGTTTCCACTTATGATCATAAACCAGCACACAGCTTTTGGTTTCAGAACAAGAGGGAACACTAATTTAATGTCTTTTGTCTGCCTGATTCACTCCAGACGTGGGCTTCCCATCTCAGTTCGTTCAGTTGTTTTTCTCTTGCTTTGCCTGCCCTTGGGGTGACACTAAAGAAAGAAATCCCTTTGTATTCCTTTGTTTTGCTACAAACATCATCTATCCAGTGAAAAGAGTGTTGTTAATTGATACAGAAACAACTAGCTAGTTCTAAAGAAATTTGAAATTTGGATTTCAGGTTCCAAAGAAATAAACCAATTATTTAAAAATAATTACTGAATTTTTGCTCTTCCAAGATGAATAAGCGACCATTATCAAGGCCATTTTAAAGATTCTATGAAAAAACAGCTCAAAAAAGAGGAACCTTCTAGTTTATTGGCTTTGATAGCTAATCTAGTAAAATACAATAGGGAATATAATCTCTGAAAAAACATTTAATTATAGTACCCAAACAGATGTAAAGACTAACAGTTGAGCCCAGTGTGGTGGCACAAGACTGTAGTCTCACTTACTTGGGAGGCTGGTGGGAGGATCACTTGAGCCCAGAAGTTTGAAGTTGCTGTGGGCTATGATGATGCCATGGCACTCTATCCAGGGTGACAGAGTGAGACTCTGTCTCAAAAACAACAAACAAACAAACAAAAAAAACCCCAAACCAAACAAGCAAAAAACCCCAAATGCTCAATAACACTACTTCCAGAATAAAAGAAAAATGCATGGAATCTCTGGGCCAAGAGCAAGTCATTTACAAAGTTAAATTTTTAGGCTGGCATCAAATCACTTCATAGCAACATTTAATCCCCTAACATAAGGGAGAAAGGGCTACAAAGGAGCTCTGAAGAAAGGAAAGTGTAAGGTAAGGTTTGAGGTTGCTGTGAGCTAGGATGATGCCATTGCACTTTACAAAGGGCAACAGAGTGAGACTTGGTCTCAAACAAACACAAGCCCAACAACAAGAACAAATACCAATGATATATTCATAGGAGGTCTCTAAAGTAATCAAATTCACAGAGACAGAAATGGTGGACACCAGGGGCTGGGGAGCAGGTGGTGAGTTAGCATTTCATGGGGACATAGTTTCAGTCCAGGCTGGAATGCAGTGTCTTTTCACAACGGTGTCAAACTCAAGCAATTCTCGGGCCTCAGCTTTCTGATCATGGGACTATAGCATCCAGTACTTTCCCTGGCTGGAATTATTATTTTAATTATCTTATCAGATTGTTCAATGCTAGGATACAGAAATGCAGCTGATCTTTGTGTTTTGATTTTGTGCGCTGCAACTTTGCTGCTGCCTTCATTTATTTGTTCTAGCAGTTTGATCACGGATCCTTCAGGGTTTTCTCCCTAATATGATCAAGTCATGTATAAAGAGGGAAAATTTTACCTTTTTCTTTCTAACTTGAATGCTCTTTTTTTCTTTTCTCATTGTTCTGGTCAAACCTCTAATACTATGTTGAACAAAAGGGTTGAGTAGGCCATTTTTATCTTGTTCCTTATCTTAGGAAACAAGCTTTCTGTCAGATATTATTCCCACCAAAGATGTCACTTAAGAAGAAAGGCAAGTATAAAAAATAAAAGGCAGTGGGCGGCGCCTGTGGCTCAAGGAGTAGGGTGACATTCCCATATGCTGGAGGTGGTGGGTTGAAACCCAGCCCCAGCAAAAAAATAAATAAATAAATAATCACTTAAAATGTTACCTGTACTCAAGGTCACTTGTGAATCATCTTCTTGGCCTGGAACTTTAGCCAACTAAAACATGAATTAAAGACTTTAAGAAAGGAGAAGCTGGGGCAAAAGGATGGTTAAGAGCAGTGTCTTAAATATAAAGTGAATATTATATAACTGTGAACATTATAGCTAAAAATAAGCACATAAATTGTTATATCTCGACAGTATAAAACATAACTCACAAACATCAGGAGGTGGGCAAGAGAAATGAGATCATGGTAAAGGACTTCATCTTTCAGACAAAAGAGAGAATGTCTATGAGCTCCAGTTTAACAATCTAGTCAATAAACTTTCAAGGATGCCCATCCCTTATTAGATTAGATTTCATAATTTTTTCTTCTTAAACTTAGGGAAATGTATTAGAAAATAATATCTTAGGATAAAGAAAGAATTAATTATCATTTAACAATTTTTTTTTAGTTTCCACATAGTTTCTTTCATTAAATTAAAAAAAAAGAAGAAGTATAATGTCTGTACAAAGACTGCTGAAAAGTATCAGCCATATAGTCATGTCACATGAAAAATAGTATCAACAGTGGCTGGATACTTTCTGGATAGCCTCATCTATTTTTATTGTGTCCTTTTCCATTGGAATAATTGGAATAATTCCTGATACCATACATATCCCACCATTCTCTCATTTTTCTGCTGAAGCTGAAGCTGATGGGACTTAGGTTGCATGTGAAGACCCGGAGTGATTTTTCCACTGAGAAAATTAATTCTTTTGATCCTTAGACTTAGGCCACAAATCTAAGTAATGAAGGAAGAAAAGAATCACTTTTCTCCTATAGTGCTTTTCCATTTTAAAAGTAAGTTATTCTTTCCTCAGCTGATTTCTGCTGTCAAGATATGGCTCACACTT